CTTCTCATCTGGTAGGACACACAAGAAGCCACCCTCCCATGCAAGCTAATGTTCCAGTGATTTCCATTCAGCCTTGGCAGTCACTTAGCTATTTAATAAGAATACATTTCTAATATTTGAACACTGAAATGAAATTTCAAATGTCAGAAATTTCCGTGCTCCCATCCTTGCTTTTTTTTTTTTTTTTTTTTCTGCAGAGAAGCATGCATTTGTTCTTTAAGAGATGACAAGCTAAAATCTTGCTATAAGGAACCACACACCAATGTAATAGGAAGGAGTCTGGGTACAGTGAGACACAGCAGAGATGGCCTGAGGATCACTGTACAAAACCAGGTCCAGAAGACCTGTTTCAAGGGAAATCTGTTCCTCTTCACCTTCTGGAAAGGAACCATGGTTTATCAAGCTTTGTCCAGGCATGATTTTCTACAAGTTTAAACACCGTATCACACACTGTTTTGAGGAGGTATGAAAATGGTGTATTAATTTCAGCCTGCTCTTAATTGATCTACCTAAGATACAATAACTCAAAAGTCAATTATTTAAAAAAAATAATTAATCCACCATCATGCTGAAACAAGAGTAGAGGCATTTGCACTAGTTTACTGGAAACATGATCAAAGACACAGCTTTAATTAAAAGGGTATAGTTCCTTTTTACATAAGCTTGCAGAGACAGCCTTGCCTAAGGAAAGGTGATGGGGACAGGGGGCTGAAGTCCAGCCCAAAGAAAACCTGGCTGTGTGGCTGTGAGGATTTTTGCTGCTTTCCTTCTCTTCTAGCTGTCCATCCCGCCTGGGAACATCACTCCTTGCCTAAGCACACGTGAAGAGTCAGCCATCCTTATGGCCCGTCCTCCCTGCGCTGCAGCTTCACCGGCCTCGGGACAGCCTCAATCAACTCCTATTTTTCCTCTCTCCCTTGAAAGAGCACATAAAAGCCTCTCCAAAGCCAGTTACCAAGCAGAAACGAAGCTGAAACCCCAATCAGAAACATTGCCACGCGCCAGATTATTTACAGGCTTGGGAGAAAGAAGTGCGAATACATACCCAGTGATTGCTCTAGCCTTTTAGTTTCTATTTTCTTACCTTTTTGTTTTGGCACGAGAAATAACCAGCGTGTGACTGTAAGATCAGGATATCTCTAGTTACAGCAGCATCTAAGAAGCGTTGTTCTAGTAAAACGATATCGTGTACGAGCCATGCTATATAAAAAGCAAAGGAGGCACAGGGCGCCGGATAGGAAACACTGCAGACACAGTGATGGCCACGCTAGCCTTAAGTGATGATGCCCCAGCTACAGATCCTGCTCCAAAAGCAGGATGCTAGCCCACAATAAACTTGGCACTGCCAGGGCAAAACTCTTATGGTTAGCCAAAAGAGTCAACGCAGCCCGGGTCCGTAGGCAGAGCTGGTACCTCCCTCTGTGTTGCAGGGGGCTCCGGTGCCTGATAGACCTCTACTGCAGGCAGATGAGACTGTGCTGCCCTGCCAACATCAGCCGTAAGGTAGAGGGAGAGTGAGTGGGTTGTCATGACCCAAAAGTCTGGGAGACAACTGCTCGCCCTGCTCCCTGCCCAGCGTTCCGGCTAGCACAACACAAAAAGCCACTTCTTTGTTTTTTGTAGGTGTTTGTACAAGATTTCCCCTCTTAGAAGTGTTCCTTTCTCATCTTTTCTGCTTGCCTTGAATCCTCAAAGTATTGAGTTTCACCTGGTTTCAAAGAAGCAGCAAAAAATCAGCGTGGGTTCGTTAAACAGAGAGGAGACTCCCCAGAAGGTTCATAAACCTTTCACGAAGCTGGCCAGAGCTTCAGCAGAAAGCCGGAGTGCCTGAAAACAACTTGTCTGCTTTCCCATTTCATTAGGAGACTCTTGCACAGCTCTAACGCTGATATTGCAGCACAGACCTTTTGAAGCTGCTGCTTGGCATGTGCTTTCTGTTTATTTTCTAATAAAAAAAGAATCATATGCACTAAGTTTTCTAAAAAGCAACTGTACCGGCACTCAGCCACAGGGAAAAAAACTGTAAAAGTCCCTGATGCTTTCCGTTCACATTAAATTCAGTCAGCTTTGTTTACAAATGGGGCTGACCTCTTATTTAATTAACTTTTTAAAGGAATAAAATCTGGGAAAGTTTATTAGTCCGCTGTGGCAAATACATTCTCCGAGCAACAAACAGGCCTCTGATCCCTTTTACTTACATCCAGACGTTTCAGAAGTGGTTGAGTAGATGTTTTCCAGTTTTCAGTTAATGGAGGGCTGATTGGGATTTATACACTGGATCCTGTTCCCATTAAAATTAACAACCAAATCCCCGCCGGTATCACTAAGAGGCAGAGTGAAAGAAGAGTGCCCAAAACCATGTGCTCCTCTCAAAAATCTCAGCTTTTTCCACAAACACAGCCAGCTTAAAGTTTCCCTGACCCCACTAATCACATTTCTATAAAATCATCACTGTAAAAAAGTGCAGAAGTTTACCAAAACCTCTCAGGAAAACCCTAATTTACTTATATGTGTATATATATATATTTTAAATTCAAGTTTCTAATTATATTTGCACAAAAGACCATAAGATGTTGTATAGAGGTATAACCAAACAACAGCTGTCTTCATCCAACCCCCTTTGCATTCCTAGAAGTGATGGGAAGCACTTTATGGCAACTTTTTCCCAGGAGAAGCATTTGAGTTGCCGCAAGTTCCCATCCCCAGGGAAGGTCTGGCTGGTGAGAAGCAGGATGAGCCCCAGCAGCCACAGGGATTACGGGGGAGAAGATGAAGGAGAAAGTTTAATTCATTGTTGTAACAAATTTCAGCAAAGACTTGAATTTCTGTCTCCTACATCACACCCAGGTGCTCTCCTCTACTGATTAAGTTAATCACCATTTGTTTTCTCATGTTTCTTCTCACTTTCTGGGTCTTTAAACATTGGTCAAGATGGGAGCAGCCCCATCCAGCAAGTTCACAGAGGTGGGGGCTTCAGGTCTATATTCAGGTCTACCCCAGCTGTGATTTGAAGCCAGTTGCCTCTTCACCTTCCTCCCCACCAGACAGGGCTATATCTCCTGAAATCTCCCCTCCTTGGGTTTCTTCCCACCATCATTTATAAAACTCTCCTTTTGCTTTGATGAAGAATGAAAACCAGACGTGCCAATCCTGAATTTTTCATGAGAAAATCCCCCACCACCATTTCCTGCCGACCCCAGTTGTTGCCTTATTAACATGTATGTATTTCAGGGGTATAGGCTGCCTCAGCAGTAGTGGAAATTTAGGTAGGAATTGTGGAGCAAGGGCACAGCATGCAACACAACAAGGATCGAGATAAGGTAAGGAGAAAATTGGGACTATCAATACTGGTACAAATTTGTTGCTATGGTATATATGATGACTTCTGCAGAACAGAAGGTATTTCCAAAAATGAAATTGTCCTGAAGGGAACAGCGAATGAAGAAAGTGAGCAAAGGAGGAGATAAAACGCAGAGATTTCTAAAAGAAAAGGACCTTAAAAATACAATGATGGGGCAGACTCCAGTCAATTTAAATACCAGCCTGCAATAAACTCCGTGTAACAGGATCCCTGAACACAGCCCAGCTCTGAGGGAGGTTTCAGCTCCACTTTCCAGACCTATCTTTTCAACCTTGTCTCTGTCACATAAACGAACTGAAATGAACATATGTTTTTAAGTTTGTTTCTAAAATAACCAGAGCGAAGCAGAAAGACTGCGCTGCCCACACCAGTCTCCCCCCGCCTTCCTCAGGGGAAAGAGCGGAGAAAAACCATGACTGTTAGTCACATCAGATGAAGTGCTACAGCGACGAGGATTTATACAAAACAGAGCCCCCCCAAAAAAACCCCAGGGCTGCTGGGTCCCAGCTGTGGGCAAACAACGAGCCGTGCGTCCAGGCGGTGACGGCAGGCCAAGATCCCCTCAGCCCCAGCCTGGCTGGCCACCCCGTGGCACACATCAGCCCTGTACGTGTGCCAGAGGTCCCCAGGCACGTAGCAGGGACACGTCCCCCTTCTGCAATGTGCAAAGCTGAGGATGGAGAGCATCCTGTAAATGGGCCGGGCAGGAGGGGCAAGATATTGCTGCCCTGGCCTTTGTAGAGACAGAGGCAGACCACGTCCAAGGGACTGTAAGTATCAAGGAGAGATGCCTTTGCCCTTCGGAGGATGCTACAGCAGCCCGAGAGGTGCCCCAACAGGCTCCTTTCTAAAGGGCAAGGAGTTCTAATTACAGTTATTTCTAAACCCCTTTTCAGTTGTTAAGAGACATGTGTGGATCTGGCAGGGAATAAACACAAGCAGGGAATAAAGAGAGGATGAAATCAGCTGTTTCCTGGTAAGAGAGGAGACAGTTAAAAGAGTGTGCACACTTTTCATTTTGATTGATCCCAACAAAAGCAATTTCTGTTTCAAAATCAAAACGTGAAGGAAACTGTCACAACAAAGTTATCTAGTCTAAAAAGCTGTTCTTTACCTTATCTTATTCCACACTCAGCAGACACCGTAACTTCAGGGGTGCTTATTTTATTTCCAAGCGTGTATCCCAAGGGATAGGTTTGCACCTTGTGAAGAAGATAAGGAGAGCACAGGGGTCTGGAAGCCTCCAACCTTTTATTCCCAGACTGTCTGTTGGCTCATGATGCAAGAAACTCAAGGCAAATCCTATGCCCAGCATCAATGATTTTCTGTAGTTCCTCTGCATATTTCTCATATTGCTGCAAGTATATTGTTACCTAGAAAAACCAACCGTGACTGTGTCAACGTCCACTTGTCTCCTTTCACCCTAAACACCAAGACCTGCAGAGTCTTTTCCTTTCACAGGGTTGCTTGTTCCTTGGAAATCCAGGCTGAATGCTCTCCATGGAGAAAAAAGGAAATTTACACCCATGTCTACAATAAGCAGAACAATATAGCTGAAACGGCAGCTTGGCTTATCATGAAAGCAAATTTTCATGAAATTCAGACATATAGACTATCTAGTAATTATTATTACACTCACAGAATTGTTTTCTCATTTCTCAGTCTGGAGACTCGATAGTTTTCAGTAAGAAATATCTGAAAGAGAAATCATCAAATTAGCAAGAGAAATCAATCCCTCTTGTCTAAAACGTCACTTACTGAGGTTACGAGGAAGATTTAAAATACCACTATAAATGAAGGAAGCTAGGAAAAATGATTTTTCACTTTGGAGCATTTCATTTGTTGCCTGCCCATAACAGTACTGTACATAACAAGCTGAAGTGCTGTGACAATAGAAGCATCAGCAGAGCATATGTAGTTATTTTTTTTTTAAATTATTGAAAATGTCGGGATCTACCACTTCAAAGGTGCTTTGACAACAATGGAAAAAAAATTACTTTGCAAAATTTTAAAAATCTCAAATGGCAATTTCTCTTTAATTGGTTTTAAAACATTTAATAAAAGTTTTATGGTACAGTCCTACCCTAGGGCCACCACTAATCCCTTATGGCTACAAGAGATACCAAGTAACCTATGGAAGCCAGAAGAGAACATTTTGTCCCTTTTTCCCACCTATTTCTCTTTACTAAACTAATTACACAAGATTTAATAAATCATCTCAGAAAAAGAAATTGCTCCAAGTTCTCCTTTCTTGTTATGACAGGCAGCCCCGTCTCTGCCGCAACTGTTTTTTTCAGTTTTATGCAAAGGAAGAAATTGTTTGTCTGCCTCCATTTCCTAATTCCGAAGTGGATCACTACCATCTGATCTGCGGAGAAGCTACACAATGAGGAGGTTTAACATTGTGCTGCCTCATTGCACAAGATGACACGAGGCACGGAAAAGCAGTGGGGTAGAAGGACAGGCCTTTCATAAAAGGGAGCTATTTGGGCATAAGCTTGAATAAACCTGACAATGAAGTCTAAACGGGCAAGCTGGTATGGAAGACAAGAGATAGGCTGGTAGAGCTTGGCAGAGTACAATAAATGTGTTTCACAATACATCAGGAGGTTTCCCAATCCGCCAATGTTCATGTGAACACCAAAAATTCAGAGGCAATGTGGGAAAAGAAAAGCAGACGATGAAAAAGGAATTTTTTTTCCCTCCATTGCAGAGCAGACAAAACCAATGCCCGTTACAAATTGAGAGGGTATTGAGAGGGAAAAACCACCTTGTAGTCAACATGTAACACCTTGGTACTAAATGTGCAATGAAGAGTCAAATGCAGCTGTAAGTCCCCCCAGCCCCGACAAAACCTCTGATCAGAACACACATATACTCGTGTGGGACCTCACTTTCTTTGGCAGCACCACTCTGGCCCCCCCAGCACTGCCCTCCTCCTCGGGCAGAGCACCTCTGGCACACCAGCTCCAGGAAAACCAGCAAAGCTGAGCTTATCTGGCCTTTTAAAGCACTCTGGCACACTTTAAAAAGCATGCAGGTAGACTACAGCGTATCAGTGGGATGCTTTAAAGCCTGCTCTTCCAAATCCCCTGTTCTGCTCACAGAGAGCGTTGCCCACTAGCAGCTGGCACCAGCAAAACCCACAATTGCATCTCTTTTTAAAGCATTCACAGGAAATACCTGCAAGCAAAGAAACCAGCAGGTCGTCAGACTTGACCTGCAGGGCTCTCTTTACAAGCTAATAGCTTCCTCCTCCTGATGCTGGCTCTGGCCCAAGTGAGAGGTACTTCAAAGGAGGAGTCTCCCCATTAGGGGCTGGAAGCTTGCAATCAATGGGGACTGGCCACTTTGGGACCCTCATCTCCCAGCCTGTGCTGCTGTCACCCTTTTCAACAGTAAAAGACAAGAGAAAGAAACTGCAAGTGCCTGTACCCTGCTGTCTTATCTCAAGAACATTTGCCAGGTGGTGTGCTGCAGAAGAATGTTGCGTGTTTTGCAGGCTGTCCTGACAGCAAGAAGGTGCCAGCGCTGCTCTGCTGCAATTAGTCAGAGGTGTCTGCTTGTTGCTGGAGGCAAGGAAAGAAACAAGGTGTCAGGGAGGCTCTTAAAGCAGGTGACACGGAAAACAGCTGTTCATCCAGCACAAAGAAGTAAAAGGATCATTCATTAGAGCTGAAGCAAGAAGACCTCCTGTACAGCCCTGAGGTGGACCCACGGGAGCTGTGTGAGGTTACCTGTCAGGCAAACATGGGAGAGGACTGGAAGAGTAGTGGTGTACTGAGGTAAGGTGAGCTTGGCCAAGCTCTATATTAAAAGGAGACAAGAGAAATCTCACGTTTTTGGAAGGTGCTGGGATCTGGTGACGCTCCTTACTCTGTCCCACGAGCCTGATTTGAAGTAAGGGACTCGCGTGCGGGCATGGCCCTCTCAGTGAGTCACTACCAATGAATCAGAGGGGAAAAACACCTCCAACCCTCAAACTCCATAAAACACTTTAGTCATAGGACATGGGCAGCATCAACATCTTCCCACGGTGGCTCTCCTTCTTTTGTGTGAGGAAGAGAGCTGACATGGAGGGAGCAATCACGGTTCCTCCAGTCCCCCGGCCTCTGTAAGCCACAGTGGCTGTGGACACATGGCCATCTCTTCTCGGGCTGTCCCTTCTGCCACCACTGACTCAGAGCCAGGAGCAATGCAGAAGGTATTTTCCACCGGCATCAGGTGGATGGCATACCGAAAACCACCAAGTCGGGGCTGAGATTTGCAGGATGCCAAAGGAAAGGGCTTCGTATTGGCCAGGATCAAATAGCAGGCCAGACGAAATGAGGTGAGGTATGAGGACACTTACTCAGGGCCAAAGGTTAATGCCTCCCCACATGACAAGGGTCGGTATCTGAGGAATCCAGAGGCCACCATGCAGCTACTGACCTTTGCCCGGGGACCTGAGAGACAGTGCTCACCAGCTCCAGCGTTGTCCGTGTGCCATAGCAGAGACAGTCTGGAGCAGAAATTGAGATACTGTTGCTAGAAGAAAGTGATAACATCTGTAAACAGATCCCCGGGGGGGAAAAAAATAAGCCAGCTTGTGGCTTGGTTTGTTTCAAGCCCTGCTAACACTGAACTCCAGTGTGAGGACAGTGCCGAAAAGACAGCAGGCTCATGAGACAGTGCCTGTGAAATGACTCTGGTAAAGGACTACAGGGTTACCTTTCTGGAGGATTAGGATTACCTTTTCAAACAGAGCATCTCTTTTCCCTCTCCTGATAGCCCCTGGTCCTCCAAAGGAGCTCCAGGTCCTCCAGAGGGCTTTTCAGCCCATCAGCAGCGCTCCCTGGAAGCTAATACCCTGAAGGTATTTAAGAAACATGTAGACATGGCTCTTCAGGGCATGCTCTAGTGCCCAAGATGATTGGTTTGTGGGTGGGTGTGACGTGGTGGGGTGTTGTGTGTGTTGTTGGTTTGTTTTGTTGCGGGTTTTTTTTTGTGGTTGGACTCGATGATCTCAGAGGTCCCTTCCAACCACGATGATTCTGTGATTCTGTAATAGAGCACCTGAAATGGACCCCGAAGGGAAAAAAGGTACAGTCTAAAGTGTGGGCCATATTGCTGGTGCCAGCCACCCTCCTGTTGTGCCGTAGGAGATGCGGTGGTGGTGCATAAACAGCCCGGCCAATTTTGGCTCTCGTCGTTGTGAGATTTCGCTTCCTCTCCTCCTCCTGGGCAAGCTCTCCCATGTGGCTGGTACGGCATCCACCGCAGACGCATTTGGCTACTACAATCCAAACAGGAGGGGGGCTGAAGTGCTGAGCCAGCACTCGCTATTTGCACAGCCATCCCGCCCCGGCGCTGGCACCCCGCGGCTCCTGGAGCAAGCCTGGCTTCCAGGTGATGACACCGCAGCCCTGGGCACCATGCCTGCCTCCCAGGTGGCATGGGGACAGGGACAGACCGGGACAGCCATAGCCAGGACAGCCTGTGGGTAAGCCCCCCGTGCCTTGCCACGGTGCAGAGCCTGGATCTGCAGCGGCTGGAAGCAGTGGGAGGATAATCTGGAGCAGCTGCTGGCATTCCTCCTCCACCCTAGAAGCAACCAAAGCCCAGCGGTGGCTTGACTTTCCCACTGTTACTAGAACCAATGGAATAGCACCTAGGAATTTTCCTTTTATCACAGCCATAGCCACAACACGCTTATACGAAGCAGAAGGGATAAGTGACACAGCTGCCAAGTATTTTCCTAATTTTCTCCACAGGCACAAGAGGTAGGCACATTTTCTCCCTGTCCTCATGCTCTCCCTAAGGATCCAACAGAAGTGATGTACCAGTGCTGGAAAAGAGGGCCAAGATGAGGTCTTTGGAGGTCAGGTACTGCTTTTTGGGTCTTGCAGTGAAGAGCTTCATTGAAAGTGCACGTATGTTATACACCCATTACCACCAAGCTGTAAGTCAGACACAAGTTGAAAGCAAACTTCGGGCCTTCAAAGAAGGACCTACCAAGAACAAGTCCTCAGCAGGCATAAAAATTGTTTAAATAAACAAGAGCATGTCACTTAAGTGTTTAATTGTTTGCAAAGTAGTTTACATGCACCAGCATGAGCTAGGGGAAAAAAGTGTTTGCACAGAAACTAAGAAGGCCCATTATATCGCACTTCCCAACAAAGCCCAGACTGTTATCCCGGCTGTGATCAGCCTCATTGTGCAACAAACACGATCAAAGGGAAAAGACCACAAATGCTTCCATGCAAGAGACCCCTTGGCCACTAAGGGAGGGGATCACACAGGTGGTATAAGGTACCACTCATCTCATTGAGTGTTCTTGATGACTATGCCATGACATAAGTCATGATAATTGGAATCTGAGAATAAAGAGTAAGAAGATGCTGCAACATTTCTTCCAGAGAAGAAGAGTTCTCCAGTTCAGTTTATATCATTTGTTTCCACATTGAAAAAAATAACAAGAAAATAAAACACCTCACTTCATTTATAGTCCCCCTGCAAAACACTACACAGACCTTATTTCTTAGACTTAAAAAGTAAAACTAGAATTAGTTTATCACGTTTAATGGTAAAAAAGGAAAAGAAGTATCAATCATGACACATGCTACCAAAATCTCTAAGCTAAATCGTTGAAAATATGCATTATAAATAGATATTCCACATGCACAACGGACACATGCTAGTTTATGTGAGTTATTAAAGGACTAGGCTGAAAATATGCAGACTTTAAGACCGTGTTTTAAGAAATTTTAACTAAAAACACATGCAGGGTATGCATTCTAGCAGATAATTACACATAGAGTAGAGGACGGCTCATACAGAAAGTAGAAACTGTGTGGTAACATGCACTTTTTATCTAATAGAGAAATACATGTATTATAAAAGCACTTCCTATTTTCCTTTTTAGAAAAGCTAATTTTCAGGCACTACAGGTCACCCACCTCTAGAATCTCACTAATCTAATCTACAATGTGTAAACACACCCAGATTTACAAGATCTAAGAGAATACTATTTTTAACATCTTCCCTTGTCTAAAACAACTGCTTGTGGGGGAAAAAAAAAAAAGGGGGCAACTCGCAAATCTCAGAGAAAACTTGAAACCTGGAAGATGATGAGGCCAGTCCTTCCCAATTGACAACAACTTCTCATTTCCATCTTTTATCCTCCAAGAACTGGGGAGGCTATATTTAAAGGCCTCACACATTTTCTCCTGTTACCAGGATACTCAGCAATTTGAGATAAAATGAGTAGAAGGGTGACCTCTTTAAAAGATTCCTGACAAGTTTTGTTCAGGTAAAGAGGCCGTTAAGTACTTTCTTTACCTGAGATTTCGGTATTTTTTTAACAGTAAGAAACCTCAGATGCCTGATCTACTTCTCCTGTAACAACTTTTATCTGACTTTTCTTTATATTTCTTAAGCTACTTTGTTTGGGGGGGTGGACAGACACGGACAGACCCCACATTTAAGTATAAGATGCTGTTTTTCAAATCCCTACTCTTTACTTGTCTAAGATGACTAACGTAGCAATAAATCTCTGTGCCATCGATCCAAGAATCGTGAACCTACCTTAGCTGCTTTTGAAGGTGTTTTTGTGTGCGTGACAGGCTTCACTAGAGACGGTAAACTTGCGTCGATAGGATGGTAATTCTCATTACTTGCTAGTAAGGCCAGGCTGAAACCTCATTGTTTTTGTTTCCTAGAGAAAGAACTGAGATCACATCTGCATTTTATAAAAGCTCCTGAATAGTTGCTGATCAACAACAACCAGCAGCCAAAGCTCTGCCTCTAGAAACTTGCATTGTTCTGCCGTTGGAGCTGCTAGATACTGCGTCTTCGTAAAAAGTCTGGTTAAGTCATTTAAGCTCCAAAACCAAATGTACTCTCCTGAACAACTAGCAGAAATTGTTACTAACAAGAATTATATGCAACAGCCTCTGGGCTGCATTATTTGGCTTCCTTTGTTCTTTAAAGGGTACACACAGTCAGCTCAAAACCTGCTAGTATTTCTAGGTTCTACGAAATAAGGCTATTTTGAGCTAGCAACTCAGCTGTAAATGGAAAAAGTACATTTTCCTATCTGTTTTCTAGGGTTTAATATAAAATCTGCAAAGGCATTAAAACAGTTGGGTAGGGAGCCAGAGCTGCTATGGGAATTTAGGAGTCGCATGTGTAAAAAGTGCTCGCGGTATTTGCTGTGGGTTAAAGCGTGGGGCTGGGGGGAAGGACTTGTAAAACCCTCTGCCTCTCTCCAGTTTCTCTGACAGGCACATTAGCTGCATTTTATAAGGACTGATCTAGCAACGGATGTAGAAAAGAGGTGACTTTTGCCCGTTACCCCACAGCTCTGTCGCCCCCGACCCTGCCGAGTGCTGGGGGCTCCTGCCTGTAGCAGGGCTGAGGTGCCAGGAGTGCCCCACTGGGGGTGACAGACCACCTGGCCCGACTGTTCCTAGAAGCAGGAGTTGTTCTCCTGCCCAAGCTCCCTCTTCTGTGAATTAGGGCGAGCCCGTCAATCCCCCTTCCCCAGTTGCTGTTGAGGAGGGCTATCACGTAACAGGCCAGAAAACGGCTGCCAGAGAGGCTCCTTGAACTCGCTCATTGCCCAGGACGGGCACCGCAGACACAGTCGTGCTTTGCTCAGCCCGGGATCACGTGCAGCTCAGGGCACGCGTTGCCCCGATGCCAGAGCACATGAGCGAGCTGGATGTGCTCTGAGCCTGAAGCAAACGAGTGAGCTGTGCCTCCCCCACAAGCTGCTGGATTTGGGAGAGATTATGGAAAAGCGGGTTCTGGGGTGGACTCGGAGCATGAGAGCTCAGGGGTAGGAATCCACCTTTGGGCAGCAGGGCCTCTTCATGGGATACTAATACTGGGCTGGAAATGGGAAGGTGTCTCAATGCCCACATCAGACTCTTCTGTACTCACCCCATTTCCATCTCTCTCCATGCTTTTGCTCCTCTGTTGGAAATAACTTCAGAACAAGGACTGTAGCTCAGAGATGTGGCAGTCTGTTCCACGCGCTGGCATCGACTTGTCCTCCTACAAACACACAGAGTGTGCTTAGGCACGGTTGGCATGGAGGGAGAGCTTCTCCTGTAGCAAGAAAATGGTAGCCAGTTACATGGGAACAAGAGGGAGGCTTGGAGGAGGTCAGTGGGTTCCCTTCCTCCACCTTACCTGTAAATACCTGCCCCTGCAGGTACCCACAGCTTACAGTAACATGGGGACAGGGTCTAGCAGGTCCAGGCTGCCCACAGGAACTACAGCCTGGCTCCAGTTTGCCCCAGTTTCCCCCCTTAGACGAGAACCCAGTCACCTTACAGATAGTCCTTTCCATTGTGCTGTCCAGGTGAAGCACAGGCTGTTAGAAACACTTTGGCCACCCTCAGCCCACCTCCCAAGGAGCATTTTACACCACAACATGCCACCTTTGTCCTGTAGGATGTCCTTGCTATCTAGCAATTTTTGGGCAGGGATCAAGTAGACTTGCACTTAGTCACTAGCTGCTCGGCACATTCCTACCAGTAAAAGTGGCAATTTTTCCATCTCCACTGGAGATCCTCCATAACCTGAAATGCTAAAAGCGTCTATTGGTAGTCTGTTTTCTAGGTAGGTCCCCAGCCTTAACAGCTACTAACCCTTTCCCCAAATGCAAACTAGAGCACACCTATTGATTTCAAGAACCCTGCACAGATAACTTATCATGATGGATCCATTAACCCCTCTTGGAATTGCATAACCTGCTGAACTATTACCACGCACAGATAGCTAAGTGGGGTATTAGAGGAGATAAAACAATCTGCCCAGCAAAGGACATTGTTATGGCTGAGGAACAATGTTTGCTGAGGGCTTAATTTCAGGTTGACTGAGGAAGACATATAAGACTATATAGTTCAAAATTAAACGGGGAGGACTCAGCGTAGACACAGTTGCAGGACACAAAATAGCTGGGTCAGGACAGGCAACATCATTGCAGGGTAGTGTAAAGGCATAGCCCTGGGCGTTTTACTATGATCAGAAAGGGCAGCAAAAGCCAGGCATTGAATTTCATAAAGGGCATTTTCCCCTTCTGGGAGTATCAGTGATAGGAAATACATACATTTTTTCCACAGCGGAGCAGAACCAGGCTGTGAGGAACCTGAGCCCATTGACTGTAATTTGGGCAGAGGAACTATTCATCAGTCTCCTGCCTGGGATTTTCTTCATGACTCCCTTGCCCCTGCAGCAGTGCTTTTCAACCTGTGGCCTGCAGCCTTTGGAAACGAGAGGTGGAGACTGTCCCCGGAGGACACGAAGTGTCCTTGGTGACCCCGAATTCGGGGTTTTAAAAAAAAGGGATTTACACCTCTGTGGGAAAAGATCCAAGCCCTGCCACGGGAAGCCCGTTGCCCGCTGCTGAGGGCGGGGGGGGAGCGGGGGGGCCGGGGGGCAGACACGGCGGCGGGCAGGGGCTGGACCCCTGGCCGGGAACTGCGGGCAGGGCGGCCCCGAGGGGGTCCCC